TACAAAGACTATTATTTTCATGAAGAACTTATATGGAGCTTAATTTGCAGGTAGCAAGGATGAAGTGTTCTTCGAATCTCGAGCTTGGTTAGATTCTGACTGCGAGGATGACTTTTACAGCGTGAATGGAGGTAATCAAACCTTTACACATGTTTATTTACTATAAATGTATAAAGAAGTTTCAATCTAGTTTTAGAGATAGCTTGTTATATCCTGGTCCTGCATACTGAGATTACTTTGGCACCAGTTTATCGTGCCATTCCCTTTTTTAGGTTCTCCTATTATTATACCAGCAGCATGTGCAATGTGGATTGTTCCACTTGTTACGCACAAAATGCATGTGCTGTGCTAGGTTCCTTGATGATACAGCTTTTATTTGTCTCTAGAATCTAAGGGACCTAATTTATACTTTGATTGCCTATTGAAACAAAAAGTCGATGCCTTTGATTTTGTCTTTGGGCGCTATCATACTCCTCGGTGTCTAACAGTTATGGGCATGGACCCCCACCTTTAGCTTCATAACCTATCCCATGTGGTCCTCTATCAATCACTCTAGCAATATCCTGAAACATAACACATTCATTTACGGACTTCGACATTCTTAGGGGTGTTCTGATGCACCCAAGTTTAATAGTAGATCAATTAGATATCTCAAATCAGCACACGTGATTTGCTTCAGTTGCTGTATAATCATAAGTTGTGCTCTTATGCAGATTTCACTCCATCTCGTGGAAGCACACCCATCTATCAGCCCAGAGCGCAGACGGTGATGAGCAACATCTTTCAACCAGACACGTACAGTTCGAAATCACCGGAGCCTTCTCCAACTGGACGGAGGAAGCTAGCTGAGCTCCTGCAGGAGGCAATGCAAGACGGCCCTGAAGAAAGCACCGACGAGGAGCAGCAGCTGCAATCTGTTGCCGCAGATGGGAAGCCTGTGTCTGAATCCACATCCAGCTCCGCTTGTAGCACTGTACCGACGCCGACCGCAGTCGCCAAGAGCCGGAAGGAGAAGACGTGGTACACCGGACGCTGTTGCCTGCCGAGCTTTGTTCATAGCCTGACCTTAGATGAGAGTGAGAGGGGGCAGAAGATGAGCCCTAGGCCATGTGCTGTTTGATAGTGGGGCTTAAGTGCGATATATTACCCGATGGGAACGCTGAAGCTACTGTAAAGAAGGGGAGAGTATTAAGAGTACTATATATATATCCTTAGTAATCAAGTGGATAATATAGCCGTACTCGTTAAATGCTGTGCATACCATGTTATCAATTGCGAGGGCACCGCATTGTCCTTACCTGTGCATATATCTTATCGAATCTTTACGGATATATAAATATATATAACTTTTCAGATGTCAACAGCCAGCTGAGCTAGGGCATGTGGCATGTAGGATACAATACCTTTCTACAGCTCCTACAATGTTATTGATCTGAGATGTCCTCTTGGCACTTGCTTGATTGACGCCAGACAAATGTGTTGTTCATTGCTCTATTCTATTCCAAGTGGACCTTTTTGTTTCCTCCTAAAAAAGTGAAAATATCTTTTTATTTGGCAACTGTGTCATGAATCATGCAGCATGCAGGGTTCGTGGTTTTTGTAGCGCTGATCGAGCTTATGACAAGGACAGGCTAACTGCTAGAATGCGCTGTGATCACCATTTCAGTTCTGTCCCTACTCCCAAACAGTGTTTCAGGGACAACCACAAGGATGGCCTAAGAGCCTAAATCCTTGTTTCTGAACATGCAAGCCTGACTGGAAGTGGTGTTAGATACAGACTCACATGATGGAGGCAGAACAGTGAATCTTAGCAGTGGCCATGAGCCTTTTGTTTCTGAACATGCAAGCCTGACCGGAACTGGTGTTAGACACAGACTCACATGATGGAGGCAGAACAGTGAATCTTAGCAGTGGCCATGAACCCATCGGATCAAACATGGCAACGCAGACAACCGAACCAACCAACAAATGCGAAAAAAATATATTATAGCATCCACGGAGCCTGTTCGTTTATTAGTTTCAACAACCAAGCGAGTGTTTCTCTCTCACACAACAAAAAACAAAGCACAAAATAGAAACTTATCAACCTGTAAAAACCAACCAACGAACAGGCCGTCTGTTCACGTTGGCCCCATTGGAGATGACCCAGTCAGAGGTTTCAGGTTTCACATGATGCACATGAGTGTTATCATTTATATCAAGATTGCGTTTCTGTTTTCTAATTGTGAAATCAAGCATCAGTTGAGCAATTATAACACAATGCAGCATTACAAGGTGGAAGGTTCCTTCAACAATACAGTATTCAAGGATTACAACGCTGTCTTGGTACACCTGAAATCACGACAACCACCTGTCTGACGAGGAACATGTTGACAGTGTCATGAAGATCACATTGATTCTTTTTTTTTCAATATTGCCCCATGCATTGTTTTCCAGCACCCTTGGTCCCCAACAAGATCGACTTCCTAATGTTCGTACAATGGTACATGTAGCTCCAACCGTCGCGATAAATGACTACCGAAGTGTGGTAGACATAAGGAAGGACCGGATTCGTTGCAGGAGTTCTGCCTTCACCGAATCAGGCACTGATGCTATTTCACATGCGAAATAAATTGAGAGCAGTGTAAGAGGGACCAGTACAAAGATGAGCAAATTTTCTCGACCAGGAAAGTAGAAGTGTAAAACTGCCCAACAATGAGCATTTCATGGGGCAAAAGGAAAACAAAATGAGAAACTTTCAATCATAATATCTCATGGATTGTCTATTTGTTTAGCTCCAGGTTTAGTCATAGTAAGAAACACGAATCATGCAAAGACACATAGTGAATTATTTTTTTGACATAGAGTGAAATTTGTGAAAAGAATTCTAGTTGCAATCAGAAAAAGAAATCAAGGGGCAGAAAAGACCACTTACCTCTTCCTTTCGGAGTAATAACATGAATGAGGTCATCTATCGTCACATTATTTCTTCCTTTCTTCCTTGCATAGGCCCTACACAGTACACACAAGGACAAAAGAGAGATTCATCGAAAAAGAATGATGAGCATTGGGAAAGATACATATTATCCAGTTAAAACCACGCCATCTTTATTCTCAACCTATGGAGTGTGTAATGTAGCACAAATTTCAAAATGCTCTAGCGAGGCAGCTTGAGGTTAGCTACAATTAAAGTGACTAACTGCAAAATGATCTCCAATGCCTAGGGTTTTGAAGACTTCAGAATTAGATCAAATTTGATTGGATGCGATGAACATTTAGCGCAGAATTTGGACAAAGCAAAAGAACCTGCTTTCAGCTGAATCCTGTCAGTAAAAAAAAATTAACGTGCAAGTGCTTAGTGGGTTACTCAGAACCTGTTTTTGCAAACACAGATTCATTCGAAAAGAATATAATTGCAGGAAAAAGAAAGAAAAATTTAAACAAACTGCATATGTTGCACACTTGCATCGGTTGCAATAACTGCAGTAGCCATCTAGTAAAATCATTGCAATTATTTATTTACTAGAAAATTTGAGAGAACCAGCCATAAGTAGTTTCCATGAGAAACCAACTTGAGCTGCATAAAATTTTACAAAATTCCCAATTTATCAGGAAGCAACAGAACCCCTTCAGGTTATCTTCACGAGGAATTGAGAAAACTACTTCTGCTTCAGAATTTAGCTACACATTTGAGCAAGATAGAACAATGGTTTGGGGTTTTGACAGATTAACGTGTGCCTTTCACATACATTCAATTGCAATCATCAAAGGCAGTTGAATTGAAAGGACCATTGAGAAGTTGGGCAAAAGCATCATGCATTCTCAAGGACTGCAAACAATTAAATGCTAAAATGCAAATATCAGAACCTTAGGAATGTGAAGCACTTGCTCAGCATCATTGGATGCAAAGGTTAAGATGCATGTGTTTATTACTATGAATCAATAAACATAATTTGTTAATAGCAAGCATACACTCAGCACGAATAATATTTGAGATTGATACGAGAGAAGTCAAACCTGCAGAGTGCCTTCATCTCATCCCTCCAGCCGCACTCGACGAGCCGCTCACGGAGGAGCTCCATTAGCTTCTCCTTCTCCCCACTCTCTACCAACTTCACAAACCAAAACCCACCTCATTGTTACCGCACCCAAGGAACAACAGCGGCAGTAGCCAATAGTATTAAACCACCAATATGTTTTACTCGTTTCGACTACCTCAAAACCTCTCCCCTCGTACAGCCAAACGCCCAAACCCTAACCAAATCTAACTGAGACTACACACTTGGAGCACCAACCATAAGCTGAAGAACTCTAGCTTGTGGGCATCAAGAACTCTAACCCCGAGCCAGGAGGTGGAAAACACCTACGATCGAGGGTTTCCTCGGTCGATTTCAGCGAGATGGGGAACAGTACCGGTCATTACCTTGATGTTAATGATTTCCGCGAGAGAAGGCTCCTTGTCCCTATCCTCCTCCGCGCTCGGCGTTGGCGGCCGATTAATCGACGCCCTCCTGAAACCGACGCCCCACCGCATCAAAGTCAGAATTCTTTTTCTCAGATAAAAAAAAGGGCACGAGCAAAATTTTGAGCAAAGCATCAACAGAGCAATTTGGGGGTCAATAACAGACACAGATTGCGCATACGAGCAGCAGCGGATGAGATTGGCTCGCTTACATGCTTCAATCCTGCTTAGATGCACTTGTCCTCCTTCAGCTTCCTCGCTGCTTCTCCGATTCCTGAGCGTCGTGTTCCTCGGTTTGGTGGTGGAGTGCGTCCTGTCACCTCACGGCTCATGTTGGGACTTGGGAGCCGCCGACTCGAAGACTCCGGGTTGCGGGCCGTATCCCGCCAAATAATACCGGGCCTGGGCCCCCCAACGCAGACTCAGCCCATTGAAAAATATCTGTGCTCCAATATCCAAGAGGAGGAGGAGGCCTCTGTGTCGTTCTGTCCCTCCTTATCCCCTCCCCACGTTTCCCTCTCTTCGCTTCCCGCCTGCCCACCCCCACCGCCGGCTAGCCATGCCTCCCCCGGCGGGGCTGCCTCCCTGGCCGACGCCGTCCACCACGCGCCTGGCGACCCCGATCCCGACGCGGCCTCCTCCTCGCACCACCCACGTCCGCCCGCCGCCTCCACCACCTTACACTCGCGTCCGCCTTCCTCCGCCTCCGCCTGCTACGACGCCACCACCGCGCCGCCTGGAGCCCGCCGCGCCAAAACCAGCGGCCGTATCCACACCCGTGCCTCCCGCCACTGTCTCCGCAGCGTCTTCGTCGTCCACCTGCCTTGATTGCGTCCATTTCGGGAAGTGCGTCTCGCGCTCCGCCGACACCCGCACACAGACACAGTTCTCCTGCTTGTGATCGAACTAATTTTCTGTTAGCCCAATTCGTAGGTGCTCAGGGTGCACACACGAGGTGGACCTCGACAAGCCGCCGGTGCTGCAGGAGGTGGCGAATTTCTTCAAGGGGCACGGGGTCGGAGATTTCACCTTCAGCAGGGGCAGGCTGGTACGTGTACCCTATCTAATTGTGTAGCTTCTAAAAATTCCAGCTGCATCCCGTCCTAGTTCCCTTAAAGTTACATATGCTGTTTGGACGTTTTGTTATACTCTGCCTCATTTTCGTGGTTAGGTTAGTTGTGAAGTTTGTAGTTTACTAATTACTGAATAGAACCTCTAATTTTGAAGCTAACATTTCGTCCAATCTTCCATGCTCATATTTGTATATTATTTGACCAACTAGCTTGCTAAATGTGACAAATGTGTTTTCAGTTCCAATGGCGGTGCCGGGCAAAGTTAGCTGTTCGTGGAACACCAGAGAACCCATTGATTGGTTTATACCAGGAAGGGACGCATGTTGTTATAGATATTCCAGAGTGCAGAGGTTAGCTGTCATAATTTATTTTATCATGAATTCGAAGTATTTATGTAAAGAAGTTGTCAATACTCGTGTCACTTCTGGTATGCTACATTTTTATGAATCCTTGTTCCAAACAGGGCCATAGTATGTAACTGCAATTTATAATCCTTGTTTCTTCTTTCACCATTTTTCAGCTCACCACCCAAGCATTAATGCTGCTGTTAAGATGCTAAGGCAAGGTATGTTACTATTGTTGCTTCATGCTTTGCTTCAATGGATGTGCAGAAGTGTTGTCTTCAGTCTGACCAGTGAGGCTTAATATATTGGATTTGCAGGTATAACTGAGCTAAGTATTCAGCCATTTGATGAAGATGCTGGAACTGGTGAACTCAGATATGTTCAGGTAATTGTTAGTTTTCTTAAAATAACACATAACCATTTTAATGGAACTTTAAATTTTCTAGGCCCAGCATGTACACCTGACAGACTCAAGTGTGAATGTGAATATTCTAATAGAGAGTGCAGATGCCTACCGCGTGTAGTTCTTCCCTGCTGCAATGGAATTTATTTGTGTTGCCATGTTTTTCAGATGGCCGTGACAACATATAACACATCTATTCCAGTTGATAAAAGATACGAGCAAGGTTAGCCTAATTCTTCAACTGCTCATGTGCCGATCCCCATGATCAAAGTGATAGAAAATATCAGTGCCGTGCAGGGAAAGTTCAAGTTTCATTGGTTTGGAATTCAAGAGACGAGCGCTCCCAGAACGCAGAGAAGCTGACTTCATTGATAGAAGTAAGTTGTTGAAACTGAGGTTCTGCAACAATGGAGTACTTTTCATATTTCTATTGGAACTTTGTCCCAACACATTCCACTGCTTTGCACGCTGTATCACTAAATCATTGTGAATATACCTTTTGTGACAGTACTTGTGGAGAAATGGTGGGCCAAAAAGTAGTGTTCATCTGATCCATTCTATATGGGCCAATTTTCAGACATCAACCAGCAACGTAAGATATCCATGTCATAGTTCTTGTGGATGTAAACCATGTCTGTACTTATATTATTTCTTGTAAAAAATACACAACTCATTTGGCATTATCATTACGGCTACTGTAAATAGTTGTAGTTTTGTGCAAAGGAACTAAGGAAGACAATAAAACATACTGTGATGCTGAGATTCTGTTTTAGAACCACTGGCATAGCGATTACCAGGTTTGCAGAAGTTAGGACTTAGGAGTCGATAATCCATATGGACATGTGGTAACCACTGCACGTGTCAGCAGATGAACAGATTCAGGCATTGTTGCCCCACATATAAGCAGCAATGCTGCATCTAAGTACTAAATTCCTCTGGAGTAGGTTCATGTCCTTGGGTGAAGGTGCAGTGGGGTGGGGCTGGTGTTGCAGGTGTACCAAGATCACTTTTCTTTGTCATATATAGGATAACTACATTCTACTTCACATGTATGCAAACTGTACTTCCTCCAATCCGAAATACAAGTCCATCTAGGTTTGTCCTAAGTCAAACAGTTTTAACTCTGACTAGCAATCTCTACACAAGATGTACTATCTTAAATGAAAAGAGTTATATATGATGAAAGTACTTTTCATAATGAATTTAGTAATGCCAAACTTGTGTTGTCAATCTATATAAAAATTTAGATATTGATGATTAAAGTTATAATATTTTGACTTTGGACAAACCTAGATGGACTTATATTTCAGATAGGAGGAAGAATGTATGTGTACGACCATGTTGTTCTTCCTTCTCATTATTACTTTTAACTTGGTCAAAGATTAGCTACCAGATCTGCTGAGCAACCAACTCCACACTATCTTGTAAGGAACATGTTTTTATTTCTTTCCTTATAACAATGTGTCGTTCTGCAGATAATTTTTGGGCATAAATGGAGACATCTTAAGGGGGAGAGGGACCTGTGGGAGCGTTATGGGGGAGTTGATATTTCTCTGGATCCTTGTACCTTTGGCCAGGCTAATACTCTGGTATGTGCACTTAAATTGTCCTTACTCATGTACAATTTCACCATGACAAAATTTTCTTGCCAATTCAATTAGCTGCAAGCTACTTGATACCCCCGAGAACTCCATGCGCCACCTGTTTTGTTGCGTGCTTGAGCAAGGATCTCAAATGTGTTTGAAGCTATAGTGTATTAGTGTTTGCTATCTCATGTAAATTTTCTCATAAAGTTTTCTTGCTATCACACTGTGCTTTGTTTTCTTTGCAGTCATTTAACTCTTTGTTGCATAAGCTGAACAAGTATGTACCACGTGGTTCAACAGTTGTTGATTTGTACTCTGGGGCTGGCGTTATTGGCCTATCAGTTGCTGCTTCAAGGAAATGTAGGTGAGCAGATAAATGCATGCTAAGAGGAACATATGTTATTCACATATGCTGGTGAGGACAGATACAATGGATTTGCATACTAAAAGATTTACAACCTGATGCAGTGTCTTAATGCATGCATTAATTCTAAGAGCTTTTGCTTCCATGTGGTCTCTTGGTTGAAATCTTTTGACAACATTTGACATGGTGTTATATTATTAGGTGTTATATGTATTATTAGTTGTAGACTGCTAAGTAAGCAAATACCAGTACTGATATCGTAGGCCTTGCTAAGCCTTTCCTATACTTGATTTGCAAAAGCCTGGGATGATAAGGGCAAAGCCCAGAGCCCAAGTCTCGGTCCTGTCCTATGTGATTTGGCCCTAAGCCACCCTTTTTTTTGGTTGAGCTGTAAGCACAAAACAAACTAATTTTAGATTTCCTAAGAAATATTTGTGGGAAAAAAATCTGGTATCTATTAAAAAAATTATGGACTTCATGCTGCAGCTTGGTGCTGTCCATATCCAACTGGACATGCCTACTTTCAGCATATTATCTTAAGGTTGCATGCTTGTCTATCCAGCTATTTTCATGAAAAAAGTCATTCTACTTGCAGGTCTGTGAAATGTGTTGAGATTAACAAACAGTCAAAGATGTCTTTCGAGACATCAGCAAGCCGACTTCCAGCGAACCTGGGTTGCACCATCACTTGGCACAATACTGACGCTTCAGTTGTAAGCAATCAATTTTGTATTTGTACTGTGGTTATATCTTATATATTTTGGCTTTCACTGGAATATGTAATTCTGTGTCATGGCACCAGGAACCTGTTCACTGGCTTGAAGGGTCTAGTGTCGTTATTGTGGATCCTCCCAGGAAAGGATTGCACCCATCTGTTATCAGCGCTTTACAGAAAGTTGCTTTGTCTGAGTGCAAGGCATACAAGGCTAAAAGGTGTAGCTAATAGTATTATGTTGTTTCTGTACTTTCTTGCTTTTATTTCCAGCAATAAGATACAACATCTGTGCTGTTTTTTTCCTCTCTTGGATTTTGAATTCCTTCTGGTGGTAACCTTACTAATAAGAGATTCATTTTCTGAACTCAGTTCGCTTGCAAAGGTTAAGGATGAGAAGAGACCATGGATCTTACGGGCAAGGGAGGCAGCAGTTCATGTTGATAATACAACAACTGAAGAGGGCAGCGAAACGTGGCCTGAAACTCTCATATACATTAGCTGTGGATGGGAAAGTTTTAAGAAGGTACAGAGTGCTTAAGTTTCATTAAGACCCAGAACCTCATTTGTTTATGCAACTTCAAAGCAGCCGCCAATCTTTATCCTTTGGAACTCAGTCATGTGACGGTTCTGATATCTGTAATCATTTCTTGTGCAGGACTGCAAAAGCTTGATATCCAGCAAGGTCTGGCAGTTGGAGAATGCTCATGCTTTTAACTTCTTCCCTGGCACAGATAGGTAACTGTTTCTGCTCCTTGACTAGAATGTACCAAGGCATATTTGACTAGAAAGTACCAAAGCATATTTTACTGCAACAAATATCATTATACATTTCACCAAGTTTTGGTGTTGCAAGAACAAAAGTTAGCCTTTTCAACTTCAAAAGCACTACCTTGAATCCTAATTGGCAGCTGTTTTGGGTCATTACAGACTTGAATTTTCTGTAGTGAAGTCGATGATTCCTTTGTGTTGTACTCTCTGAAGTTTTTGAAAGAACTTTTTCCATCGGTTCATACTGAACCTATCTAGTTTATGATGTGTATACTGTCTACTTTGGTCGCACTAAATGAAATTTGCTAACACAGCATTGAAATCCTGGCGATCTTCAAACGGGAATCAGAAGATGGTCAAAAGAAAAAGAAGAAAGCAAAAAAGAAGAAGGCCAAGTAGATTAACAAAGGCTGAACCAGCTGTAACTGAAGGCTGGAAGTGGCACAGGTGCTCACCTCGTGGATTTTGCAGATCTTCAATGCTGATCCAGAAGAAGCACAGAATGAGTGCTCATTGCTGCTCTGAGGAATTTTACACCCACCACAAACCAATCAAGTGAACAATATATGACTAGCACATGGTAACTTGACACAAGGTAATTACAGAAACTTTCTCAGCTAGACTCAAAGTTTTGCCTGAACAGGAAATTCTATATTGGATCAGCAACTTCCATTCTGTAGTATGAAATAAAAATAAACAGAAAAGCGGCATACTTCAATAGTCAGATAGATGACTCTTCTGGTATGCTGCGTGCAACCTTTTATTCTAGTGATGAATCTTCAACTTTCCATCTGCTATTTCCACTCACTAAAAATGTAGCCGCCCAAAAGGGCCAGCTTAGAATGAAAGGGTCTTTTTTGCATGCAGGTTATCTTGAGGGTGCCTGTCTACAAGATGCACTATGTCAGCACTCAGCACCTCCCAAGCCCCCTTTGAAGACAACTCCAGGTAGAAATAGTCAGTCAGCGAGGTCGTAAATATGTTATTTCTAGGTTGGTGATAGGGCGTTTACACGAATTCTGCAGTCCCTTTGATGTAATTTGTGCTTTACGTCATGTACTCACGTTTCACTGTACATTCTTCTGAGACAACTATACAAGAGCAATGTTCTGACACATCTCTTACTTTGATGGTGAAATCTAATTTAACTTTTGTCGTTCATTGACTGAGCTGCCCTGATCGGTTAGAAAGGAGTGGGGGTAATGTTTCCATGAGAAGTGAATATTTTAGATCTTATTAATATGCTTGATCAAATATTCTTGGAGAAAGTTTATGGTTGATATATATCTTGCTTCAGGAAAACCCAAGATACAAAATGAGAAGAAATCACTGAGGGGCGGTTTGGATCCCTTCGTTTTAGAGGAATTAGAATCTACTTATTAGATTGGACTATTTGCTTGGAATTTGGTATTCCACAACTTTCCCAATCTCACAAATAAGCCTATTTCAAATTTATAGGGTGAGAGATGGAAATGGATTCTATAGATCAATCATGCTATATTTCTACTATCCAACTTATAGCACATTTTTCAATTCGCTTCCCTACAATAGAAATGCAACATATAAAATATGTCTCTTATATGGCTAATAATAATATACAAGTATATTCCATATAAAATTGTATTAGCTTAACTAATCTATGACTAAATTATAATTATTAGAATGAAATCAATTCTCTAAAAGGGCCCTGAGTGTATTTGCTTTTATCTCACGTTCAGGCTCAATAACATACAAAAGCGAGAGGTAAAGGAAGGTGATGGGGGTGAAGAAGAGATAGAAGGGAAAAACGTTTAGCTCTGATTTCGGATAGCCTAAGGACTTAGGGAGTGTGCTGGTGCAGTGGAGGGCACTGGAGTGATGAGGGAAGCATCCAACCTTAACCCCTGAGTACTTTGCAACACGTGCTTCTCCATCTGGAGAATCCATCGTAGATTAAAGGATTTGTTGTAGTGAATGGTAAAGGTTGGCAATTTTTAGAAATTAGAATAGATCCGATGGCTATTTGTGACGATGGTTAGAACTTAGAATCCACCAGATTAAAGGCCGAAGATGTTTCTAATTATTATGAAAAATTCTAAATTTTATCTTTTTCCTTAGCGTGTCTCGTGAAAATTAACATTGAGGCTCCATTAAAGATCTTTAATCAGTATATAACTATATACTCCTTCTGTTCTAAATTATAAGAGGTTTTGACTTTTCTAGAGACATTGCTTTTGCTATGTATCTAGACATAGTGTATATCTAAGTATATAGTAAAAGTTATGTATCTTGAAAAGCCAAAACATCTTATAATTTGGAATGGATGAAGTATAAGATAGAAACCCACCATAGAGTATTAGCTAGTTCACAGTTCACTACCACAGTATTTTCCTAAGGTAATCTGAATAAGTACTGGCACCAAACTGACACAAGGAAAAAAAAAATCTTCCAGGACAGCACGCATAGTTATTCGTACAACGAACTGCATAGTCTAGACTATTACAATGTACATACACAGGTAGGAAGTAGCTTTAAATATAATTCAAACCATTTTTTTGCGTAATATAAACCATGTTTTCTGAGTCAACACCTTGCTGCATCTACATACATAGGAGTACGTGCTTTTTAGCATGATGACGACCCTCCGCAAGCTATTACCTTCACTTGTTCGAGCTGCTTCAACACTTGTGCCATAGTCGGTCTCTCATCCACATCTTCCTTTAGACATTGTACCGCAAGGGCGCCGATCTCGTCGAGGCATTCCTGAGCATGATGAGCCATAAGAATCTCTCGGTCGTACATTGCCCTTCCGTTCCCTTGCTCCTTGCAGCACTTGACGAAGTCTATCGGGAGGCTGTTGCTCTCATCATACTTGGCCGTCTTCCTCGTGATGAGCTCCAAGAGAACCACCCCAAAGCTGTAGACGTCGCTCTTCTCCGTGAAGCGGCCAGTCTTTATGTACGTGGGATCGATGTAGTTCATGTCCCCTGACACACACCACTTTTCATACCCGTTGACGATGGACACGAGCTTGGCCGATCCGAAGTCGGAGACCTTGGGCGTGAGGTCATTGTCGAGGAGAATGTTTGCGGACTTGACGTCCCCGTGGACGTAGTTGTGGTGACCGTGAGAGTGCATGTAGGAGAGAGCTTCGGCAGCGCCAATGGCGATGTGCAGACGCTCCGGCAGCGGGAGCTCCTGACGCCTCGCGCCATGGAGCAGGTCGCAGAGGCTTCCGTTGGGGACGAACTCAAAGACGAGCTTGGGGACGTTCGTCTCGAGGCAGCACCCAATGAGGCGGACCACGTTCGCGTGATCTATCTTAAACTGGAAGGTGATCTCGTTCCGGAACTCATCATGGCGAAGTTGCTTGCTTTTTGCGAAGGAGCACTTGATGGCGACTTGTTCGGTGCCGCCCATTGTTGTTCTTGTTCCCATGTACACCTTGCCAAAGGCGCCTTCCCCGATGATTTTCTTGTAGCCGTTTGTCATCTTTTTCAGCTCTCTTTCTGTGAATATGATAATGCCCACATCCTTCAGTATCTCGCCCCCGTTCTTGTTGAAAAAATTCCTCTGCTTTCGTTTCTTCATCTCCCTAATCCCCAGATATATAAGGAAAGCGAGAACACACGTTGCTGCAGACACAGATGTACAAGATTCATATCCAACCATGCTATTCTATTTACCATGCAACTCTAACATCCACTATTACAGAAAAAAAAGAGAGAGAATGATGTGCAGTTACGTTGAACCGTAAATAAATAAGAATGAACATGGATACAAAAATAATAACTAACGACTAACATATAATTAACTATTTCAAAAAAATGAAGATATAAAAGAATTCAACTTCAGCTTTTGAATTTTTTGGACGAGTAAATGCATTAGCGGTCTTTAAACTTGTCTTGTGGTGTCATATAGGTCCTTGAACTTTCAAAATCATTTTTAGAGGTACCTTAACTTGTCTTGGTGTGTCATCTAGATCCCAAACTCTCAAAAGTTTATTTTTAGACCCTCGAACTTGTCACAGTGTGTCATCTAGATCCAAACGAACTCCAACTAGCACATGTGTTGATCTCTAGCTTCCCCTCTCTCTTCTAGCTCCATCTCCATGCTCTCCCCTTCTCTTCGCTTTTCCAATCTAGCGTGCCATCACATCACAGTCACCAACTCACCATATCCCCAACTCATGCCTTCACCATTCTCCACATCAAAGGCCACAACATCATAATTAGTGGTGGCAACAATGCCAAAGCTAGTGCTCCTCAGATGGAAGAGGAAGACGGAAGTGGTGGCGACAATGACAAAGCTGTGGCATGTGGCATCATGTGCTGAGTACATCGGGTCTATTAGGACCTAAAGTGACACACTATGGATCTAGATGACACATTGAGACAAGTTTTAGGACCTCAAAGTAGCATTTTGAAAGTTTAGAACCTAAATGACATTCAAAGATAGGTTCAAGGACCTAAAATAGAGTTTGCCGACCTAAATAATACCCCGGACAAGTTTGAGGACCGCCCGTATATGTAACTCTTTTTTCTGCCGTCTAGAACCGTGCCATGTCGTGCTGCTCTTTTGGAAATGATGGAGCAGCTTGCGGGAGCAAAAAGCATATCATGGCCTATTTTATAGGTGATGTTAAAAGACCCCATGTAGGTATTCTATTTTCACAGGCGGTCCATTTAACTCTTTTTTTTTTTGAAATAGAGAGTTTAACAGGCGGTCACTTAAGTTAAACACTTATGAAATTATGGCTATTTGCATGAGCGAGGCTTAAGTCAACCTCACGTGGAAACAGGGCCATTTAGAAGAAGTGCCCGAACACTTGAAACAAAGCTTTTTTTTTTTGGCCATGAGTCAATTGGAGGAAAGTAAGCCTATTTAGTAATGGCCGAGCTTGGTCATAAATGGAGAGGGGACCAATGTGATGTAAAATGCAAAAAGAGGAGGATATATATTAATATTTCATTAGCAACTAAAGTAGTAGGGGGCATGGCCCACTATGGCCCTCACTAAGCTCTGCTAGTGCTGTTTAGTCCAGTGAAGAAAAAGTGCAAACTCTGTCTTATATCAATTTTGATATTAGTACTACCAACCAGTTCTAATATATATAGACATTATGTTGGTAGATGTTACCAACCGGTACTAAAGGCTTCGGGGGTTGCCTTTAATTTAGATCCGGTACTAATAGTCTAGCTAATTTTTATCGGTATCAATGGGTGGAAAGAAAGTAGTAGTACACGGAACCCTCAACCCTCTTATACTTATAGTTTTTTTTTCTCACCAAACGATGAGGGGCAAACTATCTGATTGAGAAAAATACATGCAGAGGGTAACACGGTGATGGATAAGGGATGCCCACCTATGATTCTCCATACTGTAGAGGTAGAAAATATGCGCTGGCATCCCGCACCAGAAGGTCTGTACCAGGATTTGCATCTGCACTTGTAACCACCAGGCGTGTCGTGGCATATGCTACCCGTGCCACATGGATTATAAATAAGGCACTCGTTAATATCTGTGAACAGAAGTTGATATTCAAATAGTTAGTCCAAGGACATTGCTTTGCTGGCACCCGATCAATTATTCCAAAAAATCCAAGTCCCGCATACATGGAAATGAGAATGAGAATCATATTCCTACTCCCAGGGTTGTAGTTACTCCCATATGTATATATCTAGATTTAGATGTATATGACCCGACGAAGTGTATGTAGATAAAGTATATGATTGTACATGCTATCTAGGATAGTATGTATGTCAAGTATATAAGTAAGAGTATATGATTAAACTTAGGAGTATTTTATATACTACTATAATAATACTATAATAATATATTAAAAAATATAGGCTATTTTGAAAAAAAATCACATAGTAAGATTTAGTATATAAACATACTCAAACTGATAAATGGATATGTACACATACGGAATGTGGTTTATTAAAGATGGGAGTAACTACTGAGTAGGAAAAATGCACCCATATATATATATATTATGTTTTATTAAACTTTCTATAAAATTTAAAAGCTATAAACATCTACGAGGACCATGACATCTAGTATAATATTAACATTGACAATGTCCTATTAGACCTATATCGAATTAAACAACGACCTTGATAGATTTTTTTCATCTCGTTGCAAAGCTCAAAAATACTTACTCATAATATATTATAACCTTAATTTTCATACTATCTTTGTGTTTTAAATATCGAATTTTGTGACTTACTTTGAGGACCCATAAAAATCTATAACTTATCCTATTAAAATTGGCAAGAGTTTAGTTCTTGACGTGCCAAGTGCACTCTACCACAGGCATGTCTCCACCATGCCACCACCCCTGTAGGCCTGTAACCCATGCTACGTTTTCTGCTAAGGACTAAACTTCATGGCCCACTTCAGGGGCACTTCTCTCCTAATGGTCAAGAGGTGGTAAGGCGTGTTGATCTTGTCCAATGTCTACTCGTCGGTTTGGATATCTCTTTGTGGGGCAATTTGCCGTGGCTCCGACTGAGGTCGATGGGGGAGGCGTTCCTCGTTGTGTAGAAGTCGATGGCAAGAGCATGGCTCCGTTAGTCTACTCGATCCGGAACTTGGTGTTCTCCAATCTTGTTTCTGATTTTTTTTTTGTTTTGAGACATCCATTGATGTAGAGATTTATACAACTGTCAAGCTGAGTTTTAACTCATCCATACATTTCCTTTTATTAGGCATATTTCTCCCTTCCCTTTTCTTTGTTTATTTTCTTCTTTTTCCCCATGGGTTAACTTCAACGAGCTGCAATTGGACTTCATATTGAATGCCCTTTGGACAAACAAATAGAAAAATAAAAACAGAAAAAATAAAGCAAAGAAACTCCTCACGATATTAATATTATTATCAAGATGGGATTAGAAAAAGCAGGAGGGATATAGATAGATATATATGTGGGACTCAAAGTCTCAAACTCATGGCAATATGAAACCTAGTGGGTCCATATACATGTTTATGCATGCTGTGGACATACGGCTCATGAAAAAGAAAATAAAAAAGTACGTGCAACAGAGAAATATGAAAATGACACGGACGGATGGATGGCCGATCGAAACGGAAAAGAGCATCGCCCAGCGGGAAACGGACGGTTTATATATATGCAAACTATATATGTTCCATATATTCTTATTATCCTTGGACTGTTTAATTTTTCTATCTCATAAAAGTCAGGCAGGTCGAATCTAATTAATAATTAGTTTTGTACTAAGTATTGTAGGAAACATATAGTGCAGACAAACATAATGACATGTAGGGGTACTTGTAAGGAACATGGATGGTAAGCATGGTACGTAGCTTTAATTTTGTAAGCACTCCGTATGTGATAAGAGACCCACTTGTAGCATGCGCAATAAGTGCATTAGTCTGCATCATCCATGCATGTAATAGTAACGCATAAACATATACTACTAGATGGTAAGGTAGTACTATCGGTAGTTTTAATTATATACTTCTTCTGTTTTTTACATTTCATATTAGATTTATCCTACATCAAATATTACTATCTTTAATCATCCATTTCAAAAAATTCTTATGGTTTTACAACTTATGGATCATATATTATGAAAGTATTTTTCATATTGAATCTAAAACCATAGATCTTATATCATGAGCCCTATATAATTTTTAGAAAATCAATGGTTGAAGATATAAATGTTTAACCTAGAACAGACCTACGGCATATAAATAAAAACAGAGGGAGTATATAGATGAACTAACTTTTGCATCCGTCGGTGATATAGGGATTGCCCTTGTATCCCTGTGAGCAGCGACATAGGTACCCAGGCCCTTGTGTAGCGTTGACACAGTTGCTGTGAGTGCTCACACAGGCAGAATCTGCCGTTTCGGAATCATTGCAGGACCAGCGACATAGGTATTCGGATCCATTGGCCGAATCTTCCGTTTCGGATTGATTGGCAGAATCTTCCGTTTGGGATCCATTGGCCGAATCTTCCGTTTCGGATTGATTGGCAGAATCTTCCGTTTGGGATCCATTGGCCGAATCTTCCGTTTCGGATTGATTGGCAGAATCTTCCGTTTGGGATTCATTGGCAGAATCTGCCGTTTCGGATTCATTGCAGTACCTGTTGCCGACGGCCCAGTCAAGTACCAGAGGAATAGTCCTATTTCCCACCCGCCTGCTGAAGCTCTTTTCTCCAACGCCAACGAGGTCTTGTCGCCTGAAGACGTACCTAGCTTTCAAAAATGCTAATTAATCCCGAGAACAACTCAATTATACTAGTATATATAAAGTGAGCGAACTCACTTCATATACAAATTGAGCGAAAAAAACCATATTGCTCGTCTCGTCGCCATTGCGGTTGTCACTACACTAGAGGCTACCGATGTGTTGTTATCTTCATGTAATAGGCTTAGTCGGTCGGGGTGTTGAGGTGGAGGGTCTCCCCCATCGTATTTTCTTGCTGTTTGTTTGTGTTGGTGGGATTGTGCTGGTAATCCTTAGATTACTTACGAGTTCTGTGTAACCTTACAAACTCTGCTTCTTCTTAATGAAAAACGTGCCATAGGGTATGATCTAGAAAAAAAACATATTGCTACGAATTAATTATTAGCCTATATCTTCCATGTCACTACCTAATAGAAGATACTTCTTTTGTCCCAAAAAGAATGTCATTATAAAATTCATGCTGATCAAAATTTCTTAAATTTAAGTTTGACTAAATTTGTCGAGAAAATTAGCAACATTTTTTATCTTCAAATAAGTTTATATTATGAAAATATATTCAATGATTCATCTAATAATACTAATTATGCATCATAAATAATAATATTGTCTTATATATATTTGGTCAAGGTTAAAAATGTTTGACTTCTCGTGAATTAAAAATGACACTTTTTTTGAGACGTTAGAGTACAATTGAGGATAGGGTTGGAAACAAATAATTAATTCATATGTATTTTAAATTTATTAGCCTCAGAAAATATGTGAAATCTGGAAGGAAAAAAAAGTCCTTATTAGCTCTCAGTACTATACTTACCAGCTCTTCTCTGCCACGAAGAAGTAACTACATGGGCTGAACGTCCACGCTTGATTGTCCGGCAGGTAGCTGGGGCGGTCCCAATTGATCTGCATCGTATCAAGTTTGCCCGAGATGGCTGCCTGGCAGCACCCGAGTCCCGTGCACTCGGCGCGGTCCTCAGCCGCCAGATCCAGGCTCTGGCAGGTGGTGGTGCAGCCGGTGAAGTAGCCCTTCCTGCCCAGCAGCAACGCCTGCGTGCTGCACCCAATGGCCGTGAACACGTTACGCCTCGTCGAGATCAGAAACGGCCAGTGGAGGCGGATCGATCTGCTGGGGCTGCTGCTGGTGTACGACGACTTATCGTAGCAGACGAAGGAGACGGGGGAGAAGACGCGCAGCTCGCCCGTCTCCACGGAGATGCTGATGACCTCGAAGTCGCCCCAGTGTGGTCTCGGAGGACGACTGAAGCTAGTGTTGCAGGTGATGGTGAACGCGTTGTATAAGGAGCAGTTGTCGCCGATGCCGAATGGGTAGGGGATCTCAACGTCGCCGCACAAGCTAGGGCAGTTCGACGACTGTGGTGCAGCATCTGATGACAGTGCCATCACGCCGGGGAAAGTGGCCGCGGCGGCCATCATCAGCAGCGGCGGCAGATGGAAACGACAGACTAGGACGACCAGGAGAAGGCACAGCGCCCGTGGCATGGCTGCCCCTAGCTATAGGCGTTCTAATTCCACCGATGGAATTGATGTCCGTGTATATCTACATACATAATATATAGGTGCACCCCCCTCGCACACTCAGGTAGGTAGTGCTTCCATATTAACAATTGAACATGTGGGTAATTATTACAGACACACTAGTAGAGAATAGACCTTTGATCCTCGGTCAAAATGGACTTTAGTCCCGGTATTTTTTGCGTCCGGGAATAGAGATACATTTAGTCCCGGTTGGTGGCTCCAACCGGAACTAAAGGTCCCTGCCCAACGGCTACTGCGCCAGGCAAAGGTGGCAGGGACCTTTAATCCCGGTTGGAGCCACCAACCGGGACTAAAGGTATACTTTTACTCCCGATTGGTGGTTCCAATCGGGAGTAAAGGTCTACTCTCGGGCCGTGGCTGCGTCCGGAGTTGGAAAGTTACCTTTAGTTCCGGTTGGAACCACCAACCGGAACTAAATGTCCTCCCTTTATATCCCGGCCGTCTCCTTCTTCCTCCCCGAGCCCGAACTCAGCACATTTTGAAGCTCACTGCACTATAGTGTTCTTGCTTCCTCCCTCTCTCCATTGTTCCTCCATCCATTCTTCGATTCCTCCGTCGATTCTTCGATTCCTCCGTCGATTCTTCAGTTGTAAAGGTTACCAATCTCATACTCTTATTTTTCACCATTGTCTTATCTCATTTTGTTCACTATATATATATATATATGGTTCTTTATTGTGTTTTTTTTTCATTTGTAAGCAATTTGAGCTCAAAATCACTTCAAGCTTGCATATTTACATGAAAGAAGGTTAAAGTAGCTAGTTGAACTTGCGGACCGTGTTCATCTCGGCGAGCATGTTCTCTGCCGAGCGATAACGGACGTCAAGGAGGAGTTTTGATTCTACGAGGAGAAATGCTCGCCGAGATGATCACGTAAGCAAGTTCAACTAGTACGGATGGTTATTTATTCACATGTCCCGATATCGTCGCAGTAGTCTGTCAATCACCATACCCAAACGTAGTATATATATAAATATAAACTTTGAAAATAGTTAGAAAATTATAGAAAATCCGTACTAGTTGAACTTGCGGACCGTGTTCATCTCGGCGAGCATGTTCTCTGTCGAGCGGTAACGGACGTCAAGGAGAAGCTTTGATTCTACGAGGGAGAGCGGCAACGGTCGTGGAAGACCGTGTTCCCTTCCTCGTAGAATCGGAGCTCTTCCTTCACCAAGTACGGTGCCGTCCGGTGGAGAAATGCTCGCCGAGATGATCACGTAAGCAAGGTCAACTAGTACGGATGGTTATTTATTAAAACATGTTTTTGAGATATAGATAATTTTATAGTTTCTTAATTTTATTTGTTTATAAAATGAGAAATTTATAGTGTATTAAAAAATGAGTATAGAGGGTAGATGGCAACTGCTTCCGGGTCCTCGGCCTCTCATGGGTTTCCAAAACGACTTAGGCCAGGCCTCCCTCTCATTCCATGTGGCAAGTGTCGTGATGAGACGAAGATTGTGATGGAGTACCGAGTGAAGAAGGAGGGTCCCAACAAGGATCATATCTTCTATAAGTGTCCGAATCGCAATGTGAGTTATTTTATCGTATTTAATGATTATGGTTAGTTTATACCTATTTTCATGATGGTTGTGATTAAAGTTCCAATTTTTTGTTTTAATTTCAGTGGGATGGCAGTGGACGATGTTTAGGCTTCTACTGGGAGGAAGAGTATGTTGAACTCGTGCAAAAATATCTTGCACAACAAAAGTGACTGGCGGCTAATGAGGCGGTGATCCAAACCAAGAAGCCCAAAGATGTTGCACAATCGGGGATCTGTCTGCTTTAGTTGAGATTGGTCATGAAATCCTTGTGCTCTGAAATGTATTTTAGCTTTAGTTCTTTTAGTGGTAGTTGGGATTGTCTACATTGTAGCGATGCTTTCATAAATTTGTACCTTTTGTGGTGGCACACATGTTGTATAAATAATTAATTATGATCTAGGTTTTAATATGGTATTTATGTCATGTAATGCAGATGAGCCGGCATTGGATGCACAATGCTGATCGCCGCTCCCAAGAGTTCATTGACGGCGTGCATTGTTTGTTACGTGCGACCGAGGCAAACAAACGCGACGGTTTCATGTGCTGCCCATGTGCCATATGTAAGAATACGGTGGAATATCCTTGCTCAAGGACTCTTCATTCACACTTGTTCAAGTCGGGTTTCATGCCAAACTATATTTGTTGGACGAAGCACGGAGAAACCGGCGTTGTAATGGAAGAAGGTAAAGAAGAACAATGGGACGACAATGATATTATTCCCGATGGTGAGTGCTTCGATGATACTGCAATGGGAGAAGCTAAAGAAGAGGTAGCCACAGAAGATGAGCCTGCTGATGATCTTTGTCAGGTCATTCGTGACGCATAAAGAGAATGTGAAAGTGAAAAGGAGAAGATCAAGTTCGAGCGGATGCTAGAAGATCACAACAAATTGTTGTACCCAACTTGTGATGCAGGGCAGAAAAAGTTGGGAACCACACTAGAATTGCTGCAATGGAAGACAAAGAATGGTGTATCTGACAAGGGATTTGGAGAGTTACTAAAAATCCAAAAGAAGATGCTTCCGAAGGACAATGAATTGCCCGCCACTACCTACGAAGCAAAACAAGTTGTCTGTCCTATGGGGCTAGAAATCGAGAAGATATATGCATGTACTAATGACTGCATCCTGTACCGTGGCAAAGAGTACAAGAAATTGGATGCATGCCCGGTATGCCATGCATCGCGGTATAAGATCAGGCGAGATGACCCTGGTGATGTTGAGGGCGAACGTCCGCAGAAGAAAATCCCTGCCAAGGTTATGTGGTATGCTCCTATAATACCACGCTTGAAACGTCTATTCAGAAACAAAGAACATGCAAAATTGTTGCGATGGCACAAAGAAGACCGTAAGGTAGATAATATGTTGAGACACCCTGCTGATGGGTCCCAGTGGAGAGCAATCGACAGAGAATTCCCAGAGTTTGCAAATGACGCAAGAAACTTAAGGTTTGCTTTAAGTACAGATGGTATCAATCCTTTTGGAGAGCGTAAACAAGATAGTCATAGCACTTGGCCTGTTACTCTAAGTATCTACAACATTCCTCCTTGGTTATGCATGAAGCGGAAGTTCATTATGATGCCTGTGCTCATCCAAGGCCCAAAGCAACCTAGCAATGACATCGATGTGTACCTGAGACCACTTATTGACGAACTTCTCATTTTGTGGAATAAAGAAGGTGTACGTGTGTGGGATGAGTACAAACAGGAACACTTTGATCTGCGAGCATTGTTGTTCGTAACAATCAATGATTGGCCTGCTCTAAGTAATCTTTCAAGACAGTCAAACAAGGGATATAATGCATGCACACACTGCTTTGGTGATATTAGAGGTGTATTCTTGAAAAAATGTCGAAAGGTCGTGTACCTTGGCCATCGTCGATTTCTTCCTACAAATCACCCCGTAAGAAAGAAATGCAAGCATTTTAAAGGGAAGGCAGACCACCTGACCAAGCCTCACAACCGAACCGGTGAGGATGTACTCGATATGGTCAATGATGTGAAAGTTGTCTTTGGAAAAGGACATGGAAGCCAACCTATTCCGAACGACGCTAACGGTCACGCACCCATGTGGAAGAAGAAGTCCATATTTTGGGACCTACCCTATTGGCAAGTCCTAGAGGTCCGCAGCTCGATCGACGTGATGCACCTGACAAAGAATCTTTGTGTGAACCTGCTAGGCTTCATGGGTGTGTATGGAAATCCTAAGGACACATTTGAAGCACGACAGGACCTGCGTTGTTTGAGAGAAAGAGACAACCTGCATCCAGAGAAGACAGATGATGGACGCCATTACTTACGTCCTGCCAGCTACACTCTAAGCAAAGAGGAGAAGGAAATCATGTTTGAATGCTTAAACAACATCAAGGTACCATCTGGATTCTCCTCGAATATAAAGGGTATTATAAATATGCCAGAGAAGAAATTCTATAACTTAAAGTCCCATGACTGTCACGTTCTCATGACGCAATTACTTCTAGTTGCATTAAGAGGAATTCTACCTCTAAATGTACGTCTAGCCACCATGAAGCTATGTGCATTCCTCAATGCAATTTCTCAGAAGGCAATTGATCCAACTGATCTAGCTAAACTACAGAATGATGTGGTTCAATGTCTCATCAACTTTGAGTTAGTGTTCCCTCCTTCCTTCTTTGATATCATGACACACCTCCTAGTTCACCTAGTCAAGGAGATTTTCATTCTCGGTCCTGTGTTCCTACACAACATGTTCCCCTTAGAGAGATTCATAGGAGTCCTGAAGAAATATGTTCACAACCGTGCTCGCCTAGAAGGAAGCATCGCTAAGGGCTATGGAACAGAAGAGGTCATTGAGTTATATGTTGACTTTATTCCCGACCTTGACTCGATTGGTGTTCCTGAATCGAGACATGAGGGGAGACTAAGCGGAAAGGGGACACTAGGGAGGAAAACATATATTGGTACGGATGATGATTATTTCAATAAAGCGCACTACACAGTTCTATAGAACTCCTCTTTGGTAGATCCGTATATTGAGACACACAAGGATCTCTTATGATCCGAGTTTCTAGGGAAGACTGAAGCTTGGATTACGCGTAAGCACATGGAAACTTTCGGTGGTTGGTTGTGAAAAAAATGTCAAGGTGATGAGAGCATCCATGAGCAACTGTATTTATTGGCTATGCAACCATCATGGCATATCGTCACATACAAAGGGTACAAGATAAATGGGAACATATTCTACACAGTAGCCCAAGATAAAAGGAGTACCAACCAAAACAGTGATGTCCGCATAGATGCCACAGACCCGAATGGGAATAAGAAGACATATTATGGACGCATAGATGAAATATGAGAACTAGAATATGCACCTACTTTGAAGATCCCATTGTTCAAGTGCCAATGGGTCAAGGTGACTGGAGG